ATATACCTTCCATGTTACTTCAATGCTTGTTGATGACTTTGGTGTTGCAGATACATCTGATGGTTTTCCTTCTGGTTCTGTAGATATCAATATTATATACCATTAACAACTACATTTTAATAAACTTTAACATTAGATTAATAAGTTGTGCATCATTCAACCACTAACGGTCGCAAGAGCGATCGAAAAGATGTGTTCTTCAGGAATTGTAACAAGTTTATGTGCACTGCATGACAAAAGAGGTTTGAATTTAGCACGCAGTATCATTGCTTATTTGCGGCACAAAGAAGTGTGAATTTTGAGGTCAGTAGGCTTCAATGTAAAGTATCAGACACTAAAGGTTAATTTAAATCTCTGCTATCCACCATAGAGTTAATGAGACCTTTCACTTGAATCTCTTGTTAACGTGCATTATCAGCACATTGTAATTTTTTTCTACTTTATCTACTATTTACCATCTTCTTTTGTGGTTGCCGTTGCGATGTTGCTTTCAGTGCCATAATACTTTGAATTCCACATTGATACAGTTATACTGTATCTCATCCACTTTTTCAAGTCGGATAGGAAGGCTTTTCTGACGTTTCTAACGAGTTTTGTCTTTTTGATTCTTCGTGCATCAGTGTATGTAATTCTAAAGCCAGTTGAAGGTCCGTTGAATTTGGCCCAATGTGGCAACTAGAAAATATTGAGGTAAAATTGGACAGATGTTTGACATGCTAAATACTGGCAATCAAATACATGGACGGTTATACTTAGAGTGTGAGAACAATGACTTATTCGAACGAAAAGTCTGAATAAGGAATCAAGGGGATAACAAAAAGGAATCCAGTACATTTGTTTTGTTATACTATCTAAGTTTATTGTGAAATGACGAGGAACTGTAATATCGCTATCTTGTGTCAGCGTGTATTATGGACTGTGTAAAGGATCCCGATATAAAAGATTTTGTAAAATGACTAAAATGCAATGCAAGGCGAACGTTTTAAAAGCTTGGAGTCAATAGGCATGAGATAAATAGGAGAAGGATCTGTCATAAGACTTTTACTGATATAAAGCTGAACATGTAGACGTCGTTTATGTACATCAGATATAGAAGGCTCTCATGTACACACTTTGTGGAGAAGGACCAAGAAATTGTTCAAAAACATAAAATTACAGGCGACCATGGGAAGATTCGAATCCATCATTGTGCATTTTGTAGCCCTATTATTTCCTAAATCTAACCATTRAACAATGAATTCAAATCGCCTGAATAAATATGAATTTGCATAATTTTTTGTAATGGACTTCACGAATAACGACGTAAGATTGAATATGTAATTGTAGAACCTARTAKAGGGATTTGRTAGACGTCTATATGTACATGCGAGCCATTCATAGGAATATTGATATATGGTAGTAATGCGTCCGACCTCTACTAAGAAATATACCTTCCATGTTACTTCAATGCTTCTTGATGACTTTGGTGTTGCAGATACATCTGACGGTTTTCCTTCTGGTTCTGTAGATATCAATATTATATACCATTAACAACTATATTCATATTGTTTGAGCTTTAACATTAGATGTAGAAGTTTTGCATCATTCAACAACTGACGGTTCCATTAGCGATCGAAAAGATGTGTTTTTCAAGAATTATATTTAGCTTTATACGTGCAATGCATGACAAGAGAGATTTAAATTTAGCCCGTAGTCTTATTGCATATTTGCTGCACAAAAAGGTGTGGGTTTTGATGTTAGAAGGCTTTAAGATAAAGTATCAGACACTAAAGGTAAATACAAATCTCTGCTATCCACCATATAGTTAATGCGACCTTTTACACGAATCTTTTGTCAACGTGCATTATCAATACA